GTTCCTTTTCTCCCTCTGATTTTAAAAGCAGTTAAAACATTTTCAAAACCAGACTTGAAATGAGCAAACGCCTGTAATCCCAGGGATTTGGGAGGCAGAGGCAGGAGGATTGCAAATTCGAGCCAACCTCAGCAGTTTAGCAAGGCTCTAAGCAATTTAGGAAGACCCTGTCTCAAAATTTAAACATTAAGCCGGGGTGGGTTAGGAATGTGGCTCAGTGATTAAGTTCCCTTGGGTTCAATCACCAGTACCCAAAACAAAAAGAAAACAAAACACATTTTCATGGTTCCCTAAAAGTATGATGGACCCTAATTACTACGACCATTGTACTTAATGGGTAAATTGGCCCTGGGCAAAGTTAGGGTGGATAGAACATTAAAGGCCCAAGGAGGGTGATTTAGGGGAGGTAATAAACAGAGAGCAGCTGCATACAGGAAGGGCCTTAAATGGCCTAACCATTGTGGAGATTAAGATGGAGATGGTGAGCCACTGCAGGGCTGGATTGGAGAAGTGACAGTTTGGGGTGGCACTGGAGGTTGCAGGCTATTGCTGAAATATAGGAACACACACAACAACAGTGAAGATTGAAGGAGGGGTAGGGGAAGAGATATTTGGAAAACCCAAAGAACCAGTGAGCCCATTTAAAAAATATATATTTTATTTTTTAGTTGTAATTGGACACAATACCTTTATTTTACTTATTTAATTTTTACGTGGTGCTGAGGATCAAACCCAGGGCCTCCCACGTGCTAGGTACTGTGGAGATACAGCCCCAGCCGGCTGCCCCCCTACTGATATGAGAGGGCTGGGCCTGGAGAAGCTTGGGCCATCTTCTTTGGCTTGGGGTGAAAGGCAGATGCTGCTGCCCCCCAGGGAAAGAAGGAAAAGGGGAGGAGAAACTATTAAGTGCTCAAGGACTTTGAGATGATCCAATGGAACACCCTTCATGAGAAACAAAGCAGGGAGAATTTGAGTTCTTAGGCTTATGGGCAGCTTCAGGCTGCCTTTTGCCTAGGTCACTGAAGTTGCTTCTAATAGGCATCTCGCCCCTCCCTACTGCCTGGTGCACCTCCCCAAAGCTCCAATACCTTGGGCCACTCACTTTCCTGCTCTCACAGCCTAGAGGACAAACTGCCTCATTTGGGCATTTCCAGAGTTCAGAATGGGAAAAAGCGGAGTGGGGTTTCAACATCCCTTTGAGTAGAAAACCACCTCCAAGTCTCATTTGGCCACATATTTCTCAATCCCCAATAACTGTAGACCTATATCTCCCCCACAAAACCCCTATACTTGACTCCTACCTTCTAATACAAATGCCAGGCTTCCTACAGAGTGGACTAGGCTAAAGTTAAGGGCTGGTGCAGGAAACACAGGGAGAAGAGCTGGGTTCAAATGCTTCCATGAAAGACAAACCTTTCTTCACTCTAAAATTAAATACTCACAATGTGCTTTGGCAGCATTTTAGGCAAAGGGAATATGATGGTGCTTCATGGAGATGATATTCCAGTGGGGGAAGATTGTGGAGATGATATTTTACAAAGACATCTAGCTGCGTGTTCTAGGTTTTGCCTCATTCCCAGCAAAAGCTGGTGTCTAATGCCCATTTCTTTCAATCTGGGAAGACTTGTGTCTTACTTGTAACCAGCAGTGCAGCAGATGTGATTCTTCATGACTTCTGAGGCTAGGTAACAAAAGGTGATGAGGTCAGGTCTCTGTCTTGTTAAGACATGTCTCTGGAAGTCCAAGTACCTGGAGACTGCACCCTGTAAGGAAGCCCAGGTCATATAGACAGGTGTATGTGTCTAGCTGAAGTCCCAGACATTACAGCACAGAGATAAGGCATCTCCATCGTGTTCAGTCCAAATTCCTGGGTAATCAGATTCATAAGTATCAGCTCTATAAACCACTAAGCTTGGGATATTTTGCTATGTAGAAAGTTATCTACAACATTAACTATAAAAAAGAAAACTGAGTAAGAGAATTTCCTGTTGGGATGGGTCCTAGGGAAAACGTGAAATGGCATGGAAACTTATGAGGAAGCCCTCTCCAGATAAGAGGAAGAGAGAAGGATGGATCAGGAAAGGACTCTCTGGAGAGACATTTGAATTGAGGTCTGAGTGAGAAGCTCAGCCACTAAAGATCTAGAAGAGGGGGGCTGGGGTTGTGGCTCAGCGGTAGAGCGCTTGCCTACCACAGGCAAGGCGCTGGGTTGGATCCTCAGCACCACATAAAAATAAATAAATAAAATTAAGTTTTTTTTTTTTTAAGATCTAGGAGAGACCTCCAGGAGGAGGATAAAGCAAGTGCAAAGTCCCTGAGGCAGAAATTATCTTGTATGTTCTGTGAGGCACAACATAGTCAGTGTGACTAGGAGAAGGCAGGTGAGGAGGAGAGCACAGGCACCCAAGTTGGAGAGGTAAGCCATTCTGGTTTCACAGGCCACTGAGAGTTTAGATTCCAGACTAACTGAACTGGGAAGCCGTTGAAGGGTATTATGCAGGAGTGACCTGATCTGAAATAAGAATTCTGGCTGCTTGGTGGTGGACAAACTGTAAGGACAGACCGACAAAGGAAAGAGGACCACTCGGAAGGCGAAAGCAGTGCCTGCTCCCCTGCCCGCCCAGGAAAGGAAAGGTGGATGGTGGCCTGAAGCAGGGTGATGGCGATGACGATGGGGCTGCTGGACGAATTCCAGACAGAGGCCAGGACACTGTACCAAGGAGGGAGGCGGAGCCCTGCCCAGCAGGTCGGTCCTGGGCGGGGCCGAGGCGTGGGTGAGGAGCGGAACCCGGCATCCTTCTGGAATCCAGGAGGGAGGCTCGGAGCACGGGCCGCCCGGGACGACGCGTCCTGGCGTCCGGCGTCTGCGCGCGGAGCCAGACCCTGGCGGTGCGCCTGCGGGGTGTTTCCTGGCAACCGCCGCCGCCGCCGCCGCCGCCGGAACGTTCCGAACTCTGCGGGCCCCGTGACGTCACCGTCACCATGGCGACGGCCGGTGGGAACAAGCCTCACGGGCTCCGGGGGCGGGGTCTGGACTCGGCGTACTCCGCCTTCCGGCCCGCCCCTTCCCGGCGGGAGGAGAGGCGGAGCCTCAGCCTGGGCGGCAGGTGTGGAGGCAGGTGTGCTGGGCCCTGGGCGAGGCCCCGCGAGCGGCTGCTGCTCGGCTGCTGCCGCCGGTACATTCATCATCCACCACCTACCTCTCTTCCTGCCGGGCCGCCACATCCTGCGAATCACACGGGCTCCTCTGTCATTCAGATGACCTCTGAAAGGATGCCTTCCAGACCACCCACGTTAAAATAACTACCATCCGTTGCCCTGTGGGCTGATCTTGTTTGTTTGTTTTTTTTAATTCACAGTATTTCTCCCTTGCAAATCTATCTAGTCTGTTTATATATTGTCTTCACTCTTTAAACCAAAGTTCCATGAGGTCAAGGATAAATTCTGTCTTGTTCTCCACTATTTTTAGCCCAGAGCAGAATCTGGCATGAAGTGCTAATAAATGTTAGTGGGACGAATCTGCAGACGTACTCGATCATTTCATTCACTTATGCATTCATTTATTTGACATGTATGGAGTGCCTTCTAGGAACTTGTGATAAACATTAGATATACTAAGATGAACAAGGCAAGGGACCCCCCTGGAGGTGAGAAAGGAGATTATTAAATAATAATTACTACAATACTAAAAATGAATGTCTTTGTCCAGAGGTCAGGTATATTTTCATGTACTTTACACCTATAATTCTCTTAATCCTCAGCATGGTAATTGCACCCATTATACACATGAGAACACTGAGGAGAACACTCATTCTTTCAGCTGCTGGGTTCTGTAATCAGAGATCCTATGAAAGGCAGGGGAGAGAGATGTGGTAAGGGACTCACAATATGGGAATACCAGGCCCAGGTAGGTAGATTTGATATTGATTGTTCCTTATACATCAGTCTCTCACAGGGGATGGGTTCCTTCCAGATTGGAATTCTCTTGCTTCAGGGAAGCCCACCCATACTAGCTGAGCAGGCATTGAGGGACCAGTAACAGGTATGGAGGGCTGAGCACTGGACTGGAGGTAAGGTGGGAACCTGCATATTCAGCTGAAGCACAGTATGTGCAAATTCTTGCTCAAGCTTGTGAGGAGCAACCCTAGTTGTTAACACCCCTTTCTATGGAAGAGGATCCAGAAAACCCACCTTATCCCACCTCTGGGTCTTTGCAAGTTCTTTTCTCCGTATCTAGTGTGCTTCCCCCCTCTGGTTTTCACTAGCTGGCTCTTTGTATTCAGATCTGAAATGAGATGTTTTTCCTTAGGAAGGTCTGCATTGGCCACTCGCTCTAAGGAAGTTCCTGGTCATCATCATATCACCATGTATTAAGATTGTTTCCCCAGAGTGGGAAGGCAGCACAATCAGGCACATCACTGTTTCTGATCTGATTTTTCTTGTCTGTCCATCTCCTCATTCTCAAAAGTTGGTTTCCTGAGAGGAGGACCCTATTGGACCTTGCTTCTGTGTTCCTACTACCTAGAACAGACCTGGCATACGGAAGATGCTCAGTGCTTTTTGAAAGACAGAGTGAAAAGTGGCCTTCACCAAATCATTCCAGTTTTCCAGGTCAGAATCTGAGCACCCCTTTCCCTAATGCTTAGCACACTACCCCTTGCATGAATTGGCAGTGGCCCAGCCAACTTGGGCATGAGAATTCTCCTGATGTGAGGTCTTCCTACCTTCCTGTACCTGGTGGGTGACAGGGCTGCTCTCCCATTTTGGAGCAGGATTGTGGGACCCCTCCCCTGTGCCCTGATGATGTCCAAGAACATCTAGGAGGGGAGGCCAGAGGTAGAGGGAGCAAATGTGTGTGTTGGGGGCAAGAACAAGGGAGAGGGTAGAGCCTTCAATGCAGCTGCTACTAGAAAAACTGGACATCTGGAGGTTGGGGCTGTTTTTCCCTTAGTGTGAACACATACTCTTGAACAGATGCACACAAACAGACACACACTGAGTAGAGAATCAAGCTTTGGTTTATTCAGATTGAATCTTTCCCATTTGGGATGAAGAGGGGAAGTGGGCAGGAGGGGGCATAGAAAGACAGTGCATTTGGCTCCTAAGGGCCCTGTTGATTGGGAACTCTTTTCACATGATCTTTGGGTCACCAGGATGACCAGATGAATGATGAAGGTGGTGAAGGAGGGACTGGAGGCCAGGTCCTTTTGGGTCTCTCAGACCAATTCCTAGCAGAGACCAATGCTGTGACCAGTTAGGTTTTCTCCAGGGATTAAGGAGCAGAAGGCTAAGAACATTCAGAATCCTAATTAAAAAAAAAAAAAAGGCTGGGGATTCCAACTCTGTAGACAATGACGTGCAGATGACCACAGGTCAAAGCTTGGGCCGGGTCTGTGTGAGCAGCATGTGTACATGCTACATCTTCTACAAGTGGGGCTGGTGGTCCTCACCCCGTGCCTCTGTTACTTAGTGGACCTCTTTTAACCTCCCCCACCCTTTTTTTTTTTTTTTTTTTTTTTTGCAGGAACTGAGCATATTGATGGAACTGACAAAAGAGAAACAGTCCCCAACACTCCTTAGAGATGCCCTTTCTTCTTGGTCCTCGTCCTATATGTGCAGGAGGGAGGGACCCATCTTACTCCTGGGGCCCTGGAAGGAGGCACCCCAGGGTGAGAGGTGAAGGTGCTCAGTGAGCAGCTGGCTAGGAGTGGCTGTAGGGCACCCACGCCACCTCAGCTTCTTCTAGGCCACTGTTGAACCCAGCTGGGCTGTGCAGGAACTGCCTCAGCAAGGGGGAGGCATGGACCCCCAGTTGGGGACAGCTGAGCGGTTCTGCCTGCTCAGTGACTACAGTGGAGGATGCAAGGACTGTGTTCCCAAACTGATCTACCTCCTCATACTGTTCCGTCACGGTTCTTGTGGCTCCATAGCACTGGGAACCGCCCGGCACAGTCTGCAACTCCAGGACACTCTTTTGCCGCTCTGTGGGCAAGGGGCGCTCTGAGGTGGGCATAGGCTTGGGTTGCTCAGAGCACTGTGTGACCACTTCCTTTTTCCTAGCCAGGTCCTGGGCACTTTCCTGGTGAAGTTGGGTCTGTCCTATGTCCTGAGCCAAGTGTATGCTTTTCCCTGAGACATCATGGCTGCCTTTAGGGCTGGAAGCCTCTGGAAGCTTCCGTGTGGCTGACTGGATGGAGATGAAGGTTGGGGAGGAGGGTGAATCTCTGCTGAAAGGTAAGACTCGAGGGAGGCCTGAATCTTCTCTCAATGTCTCCAGCCTCCTGGTAGGAGAAGCAGCTGAAGCAACCTGACCTCTGGCCTCTGTGTGATTTGTGATATTGGCTTGACCCTGGTCCTCAGTATGGCATTCCACCTTGGCTTGGCTCTTGACTTCAATTGGATCCTTGACCTCCTGGTCTAAGTCACTGGGCCTGGCTCTACTCCTGGCTAAGACACTGACCTTTGGGGTACTGGGATCTTTGTGGGGTCCTTGGGAATGGTTCCTGGTGTTCACCTCTGGCTGCAGGCTAGACACAGAACTGAGGGCCTTGTGTACAGCTTCTTCAATGTCCAGCAGCCTGGCCAGGGTCTGTTCCTTCAGGTGGGCAACTTCTGTGCTAACCCGTGTCAGTTCCCCAAAGGCCTGCTCCACCGAGACCTCTGGTTTGCAGGGAGCAGCAGGGACCTGAGAGGCAGCCCCTCCAAGCTGGGGCACAGCCTCAAAGAGCCTCTTCAGGGCACGCACATCCACGCTGCTTGCTGCTTCCTTCTCCAGGGCTTGCACCTGGCTCAGGAAGCCCTGGAGCTCTTGCTGGCTTCCCTGCAGAATCTGAGGGTTCTCAGGGGCTCCTTGCTTGGAACATTCCATGGGCTGCTCTCCTGGGGGACTGGAGTCCTGCTGCGGTGAGGTGCAGTCATTATTGAGAGCATTGAACTTATGGGACTCAGGGCTCTGGACATTGCTGCCAGCAGCATGATCCTTGGTGGGTCTGGAGGCCACAGTGCTGAGGCTGTGTTGGGGGTCAGGATGGCTCTGTCCACTGGAGCATACAACCAGAGGCATGCAGCCCTGGCCTGAGGTGGTGGGAATTCTGGCCTGCTGAGGAATGGCTGCTTCTGTCTCACCTGGTTTGTATTTTTGTTGTCCCGTCTGCAAGGAGAAGTTGGGAGAGAGAGCTGAAGGCTTGGGCAGCCTCTGAGGAGGGTGGATCTGGGCTAGGTGTGCAGGTTTGGGGGGCACCGGGGGTTTCTTCCTTGGAGTAATGGCAGGCTCCAATTTGGGGGCCTTTGTCTGTGACCCCCCAGGGGTTTTCTGGCCAGCAGGGCTGCTGTGGATGTGAAGGGAGTTCTGCAAGGGCTTGGAGGTCTGTTGGGTGGAGTCTTCATCATGGCGGGCTTGGGCTGAGAAGTCAGGTCCCCTCACAGCAGCTGAGAGAGTAGGAGGAGGAGGAACAGAGGCATTATGGGAGTGCAGGTTGGCACCTGCAGCATGGACCCCAGAGGGCAGAGTGTGGTGGGCTAAAGGGGAGGTCTTTAGGGTGGTCTCTGCAGCTTGGAGGCCCCCTGAGCAGACTTGGAGATTCCTAGGAGATTCCCAGGTTCTCTGTGTGTGGCTTCCAGGCTCCTTCTGCCCTGGCCCAGGACTCTGACCTGGGCTTCCCTGGAGTGGGCTTGGAGCTTGGGCTGAGAGGACAGTCTGCCTGTCCTTTGGTTGGGGTTCCTTCTCAGAAGGCTGGACACCCCTGGGTGGTTCAAAAATCCTCACAGGGTGAGCAGTGTAGACGCCATCCTGAATCGTCACCCACCCCTCAGGCAGCCCTCTAGGTAGTGCTTTCTCTTCCCCACTGACCTTTCTGGGAGGTGCCGGGTTCCTGGAGTCACCTCTGGCCACAGGCCTGCTGTTGCTCTGGGTGGCCCCAGTGGCAGTGGCTGGTGCTTTCAGGAGACCATCTTGGACGGGTATGGAGGTGGCTGCAGGGGCGGAGGCCTGTTTGTGCTTGTTCAGAACTTGCTGGTGCAGACTCTGGGCCTCAGCTGTTGCCATCCGCAAACTCTGCATGGCTACCTGTAGGTCTGGGGTCCCAGGCCCTGGTGGGCTAGCCATGGCTCCTCCCGACTTTCCCATGGTGGCCATTCCTTTCTGCCCAGTGTGATGGATGTCTTCTTGCTTTTTTGCATCCTGCAATGGAGTTGGGGTGGCAGTTTCCCCAGCCAGAGGGATTGCCTTTCCAATGGCCTGAGGCAGGTAGGGGGTGGCTCCTGCGCCTCTGGGATGCCCCACCCCCATGCTGGGGTCCAGTGGAGGAACACGAATGATGTTCTCAGTTGGGGGAAGCTTCTGGGCCCCCTCGCTGGCTGGCACTGGACTTGGGTCAGCCGGTGGCTCCCACCGAAGGTCGTGCAGGCCACTCAGGTCTCCTTTGTCTATGCAGCTGGCCAGCAACTGCACACTTCTCCTTTCGGGGGCCCTGCTGGGTAGCTGGGGCTGTAGGGAGTAGGCCGTCAGAGAGACTAGGCCCTGCTCTGTCTCCTGCATCACCAGCCCAGTCCTTGTCACAGAGGCCCCGAGGCTACAAGCCAGCAGTTGCTGGAGCTCGGGATCCAGGTCTTCAATATTCCCACCGTTGCCAGGAGCTGGCAGCCTCAGTGGCTGGAGCCGAAGCTGGCCAGTTGGGTCCTGCTGTACCAACAGTCCTTGCTGGTCAATGTCTGGCCGGCGCAACACTTGGCGGACAATCCTGGGAAGCTCGCCAGACACCAGCTCCTCCTTCCGAATGTGAGGATGACCCTGCCCTGAGCTGGGGAGCATGTACTTAGCAAGGCAGAGGTCCCCTGGCCCTCGGGTCTCCATGAGGATGCCCCCATGGTGCAGGATGCCAGGTGTGGCATGCAGCGTCCTCAGGGTCAACTCGGCCGCAGTCTCTTGTTTCTCTAGCATCCCATTTTCTGAGGGTCTCCCGGGCTGCTCCTCCTGGAGATTGCCCCCTCGGATGCTCTCAGCTGCCAGGGAGCCCATGGGGCAATTCTCGAAGAGCCAGGTGAACTTGTGTACAGAACCTTCAGCGATGGGTCCCGGGGTTATCTTGACCCCCTGATCTTCTCTCTTGCCTGACTCCAGGGCCTGGAAAACCTCTTTCTGTCGAGACACCTGCCCCGAAGGGATCTCCACCCGGCTGCAGTATCGCACAGGTCTTCTTCCACAGGGACGGCCTGCAGAGGCCTGCAGAGGTTCAGTCTCAAAGACATGTCCATCTGTCTGTCTTTCCCCAGCCTGGACCTGACTGACCTGCAGGTGCTGTTCCCTGGAGCCCTCTGCCTGGTCCAGGGGTGGAGGCTTGAACATCCAGGTGCAGGACCGGGCCTCAGCCTTGGTTGTGGGATCTGTGACCTCTGACCCCTGCCTCTCTGCCAGCTCACTCATCGGGCATGTCTCAAACAACCACCGGATGGTCTGCACATCGCCCTTTGGGGGAGTCTCAGACTTGGGGCCTTCTTGATTCTTTCTCTCCTCTTCCAGTCGTTCTTGCTGTTCCCTCTGGTGGATCATCTCCAGGGGCTGGGTCTCAAAAAGCCACCGAGCAGTGCCAACGTCCCCAGCCACCACTTCCTGCCGAGTGATGCCCCGTACCACATCAACGGTACTGGGGCTTCGACCCAGCTGATCTAGGGGCTGTGTCTCAAACATCCATCGGTAGCCCTTCACATCACCTCCAACTACCTGCTCTCTGCTGACAGAGGTCAGGGCGTGGAGATGACCCTTGCTATCCTGCATGGCGTATACGGGGGATCCTACACCCTGGGACTGTCTAGCAGAATCAGTTGTTTCTGATCCGTGTGCACCATCTGGGGCCAAAGGCTCACCCTGTCCAATACTATCCAGGGGAAGGGTCTCAAAAAGGTTTTTGAAGGTCTTCACATCCCCCTTCACCCCATCTCTCTGGGGCACACCCTGAGACAGAGACAGTGCTGAGGAGCCATCATTGGGTAGATGCTCACACATGAGTCCTTCACCCTCCTGGTGGCCCACCCGCTGCAGGTGACCCACTTGGACCTTGTCTCTGAGAGTGTCCAGAGGTTTTGTCTCAAATAGCCACAGGGTGGAGCGAACATCACCAGGGACCACCTCTTCCTTAGGTGGAGCCTCTGCTCCAGCCTCCTCTTCCCCCTTCAGAGTGTCCAGGGCTCGTGTCTCAAACAGATGCCGCTGCTGCTGAACATCTGGGCCAGGAGGAATAAGGTCTGGGGATGGCTGGAAGTCCTTCTCATCCACCAAGATCTCCCGGATGGCATCCAGGGGCTGTGTCTCAAAGATCCAACGTGTTGCACTGACATCGGGCCGGGCCCCCTCCTCTAGGGAGATCCCCCGGATCACCCGCACCTGGCTGGGGTCTTGGTTGAAGGCATCCAGAGGTCGTGTCTCAAAGAGCCAGCGGGCAGACCTCACTGCATTGCTTTGGATCTCTTCCCGACATGCGGCCTTGACCTCATGGATGGCCCCTTCTGCATCCTGGATAGCACACAGTGGCTCTGTTTGGAACAGCTTCACAGTTTTCTTCACATCGCCCTTCAGCTCCTGGATCTCTGAGCGCAGCTCCAAGGGGCTCTGCTCTTGGATGGAGGGGCGGGAGCCCAGGCGGTCCAGCGGCCGTGTCTCAAAGAGCATCTTAGTACCCTTCACATCTCCACTGGCCGCAGGTTCCCTCACAGTAGGCTCTGTTGTCTCCTCTTGGCCCCCCAGCTCATCTAGTGGCTTGGTCTCAAACAGCCACCGGGCTGCACGCACATCACCTCCCGATGGCCGGGGTCCTGCTGGCTCCTGCTCTGTGCTGTTGGCAAAGGATCCTTCCTCAAACTTTCGGGAAGTGGCCTGAACATCTCCGCCTGGCACAGGCTCTTTGGCAGCTGGCTTCTCATGATCGCCAATGGCATCCAGCCGCCAGTTCTCAAAGATCCAGCGCATGCACTGGACATCACCCTCCGTGGGCTCCTCAGAGCCCAGGACCTCAGCCAGGTCCTCGGCCACAGCCTCGGCCAAGTTTTTGCGGAGCTCGGGGTGGATGTGCCTGTAGAGGCGGCGAAGCTCGCCAGCTTGCCGCTGCTGGTGGAACTTAGAGAAGGACTCCTTGGGTGGCGGTGGTGGCAGATCCTCCAGGACTGGGGGTGGAGGGAGGGACAGGTCCTCTGTAGTCGCCATTGGGATGGTTGGTGTGGGGGCCGCCTGCATCTGCGCGTTGGCCATTCTTCTGAGGAGAAGGGGCAGAGATGAAGATGTGGTTGGGGGATTCACTTGGGGTGGGGTCCGGTTGCTGGGACTAACGGCAGGGAGGAAGGCCCGGGGGCTGAGTAGCTCTGGGTGACATTTACTTAGAGACTCTCTCCCTCTCTATGTCATCCTGGCACAGGGTTCACTTTGGCTGGTGTGTGAAAAGTCATGTACTTAGGACATTTGGACCCTTCCATCAAGGTTGGTCCCTGATTCCCTGACTTGCTAGGGGGACCGAGAGTCTTTCCTTTGGCCCCACAAGGGATGCCCACCCACATCTCCAGTGGAAAAACTGGACATGCCCATCCTTGCCTTCCTTTGTCCAAATCAGTTTGTTTTTTTTTGCTAGACTTTCAAGTGAGTGACCTGGGGTCATTTTGACTGAGGAGTCTCAAGAGATAGATCCCTAAATGGGTGACCGATTTCTCATCGAGAGGAAATTCGTACAGAGAACACCAGAGGGCGTGCTGAGCACTTTGATTAGAACCTGCCCAACGTTTACCTCTGGGGTCTCAATTCCAAACTTTCTCAGGCCCAGGGAGATGAAGCCCAACCCTTTATAATTAAAGATGAGGAAACTGGGGCCCAGAGTCAGATCTTGGCAAACAAGTGGCAGGCAGTGCCGGCATGAGGTCCCTAGACCCTATTTAGGGCCTGATTCCCAAGAAATAAGAGGGTAGGGGACGTGAAGCTTTCTTATCGGCCATAGTACCCCCTCTCTTCCTCAGCAGGCCCCTTAGGAGAATAGGAGGGTGACATCTCCAGGGAGGGAAGACTGTGGATCAGGGTCCTTTCTGCAGAAACAGCTCATGGAGACCCCTCCCCAATCATGGGTAAGCAAGCACAGCTTCAGGTCTGCTGGGTGCAGGGCCTCAGGGTTAAGATCGACCCCTGAAGGCCCTCCACCCACTCCGGGCCCCAAAGCTGGCTCCTCTTCTCCCTCCCTCTTCACGTCAATCAACTTCTATCAAGGTGTGACCTTTCTCCACTCTATCCCCGCCCCTCAAGCCCTTCTGGTCTGTCTCATGTATGTCTTATCTGTCTCGTGACAGGTGTTATGACAGTCCCCAGAGGCCAGTAGGCCAAGAATGAGAAGCATGTACCCCCGTCTGCTGCCTCTGATCCACTACTGTGCTCCACACTTGGTTCTAAATATAGCTGAGGTCCTGGCCTTGGAATAGGAGCCTTGTGCTTGGAGGGACGTTTGGGCTCTACCACTGGGGATCCTGGGTGCCTGTGGCCCACGTCATCTCCCGCACTACCCGTGGTTCCTAGAGGACCCTGCCTCCTGCCTTCTGAGTTGGTGCCAGGACTCTGGTCTGGAGGCCAACCAGGTGCTAGAGCCTAGAGATCTCCCCCTGGCCAAAGGGGCCCGGGGTGTGGGTAGGTGCAAGGACACTGGCAGCAGGTAGGAGACAGGACTTCTTCCTATGGCTACCTCGGAAGGAGGAGACAGAAAACTGAGACCTACTTGCCCCAGCTCACCCACACCTGGCCTTTTCACCAAAGGCATGAGAGCCCTAGGGAGTATAAGGTCTGAAACCTGTGGCGTTGAGTCTCATCAGTCCTCTGCAGGGTTTCCTTCCGTCTCTGAGCTGTGATAAGGATTTCCTGCCAAAACCAAATTCATGCCTGTCCCCACCTCTGCTCTAACCTGTCGCCACCAGATGTCAGATGAGCAGATGTCATCTACAGGCCACCAACGCTACCCCACCCCCACTCCCAGGAATCTCCAGAATCCCTGCTAGGGTCGCCCGGCTGATAGCACAGAGTCCAGGGACGTCAGAGCTGATCCTCAGAGGTCATACCTCTAATGAAGAAGTTCAAAGGGGGAAAACTGAGGCTCAAAAGAGGGGAAAGGAGCTGTCCAGGGAGGCTTACCAAGGTAGTGGCAAAGTCCGACACAGATTTCCTGACTCTGGGCCTGCCCATCTCCACCCCTGTCTGGCCTGAGCCTGAGAGGGCAGAACTGGGACCAGGCTTAGGGAAGAGTGAGCCCCAAGAACTGTCCCAGAGCTTGGGCTCTTGGGGCTGGGTCAGCCTCTCAGGATGACTCACCTCTGTCTCCATCTCCTCCTTGGCCCATCCTGGCCTGCTCTATACCTTTGGGCAGACTCAGATTTGGTCTCCTTGCCCGGACACCTACCATCTCTGGCCTGAGGACTTTCCCACAAGTCAAGATGATGGCCTGGGTTACAGGCATCCCGCCTGGGTTCAAGGACATCATGTGTGGGGAGCTGAACTCAGGCCAGCCCTAGGGAGATATCGCTGGTACCAGATATGCCAAGACTTTCACCCACAACAGCTGGGCATGGGGCTCGTCCTAGGCTACATTTCTGGCCTAATCTACTGTCCCTACTCTGCCTGGCTCCTTCCCAGCTCTCTTCTGTCACTTTTTCCTCCAGATTTTGGGACTTCCAGAGGCTTCCCTGAGAGGAATCCTTGAAACCTGAGGAGCTCCATACCTGTATTTTAAAAACCGAAATTCCAGGCCTGGGGATATGGCTCAGTTGGTAGAGAGCTTGGCTCACATGCACAAGGCCCTGGGTTCAATCCCCAGCACCACACACATAACCACCCCCTCCAAAAAAAAAAAATCCAGGCCATCTCCTGGAAGCCTTTCTGAATTGCACCAGGCAAAAGCCTGTCCCCTTGGCCAGCCTAGGCCTGTGGCAGCCACTCTGAGCTCTCCTGTGGGACTCCTACAAACTCATGTTACCTTCTTTGTGGATTCTTTATCTCAGAAACTCCTCCACTCACCAACACCTGTTCTTACCATTCAACCTCCCTCTCTCCTGGGTTCTACCCTGATACACACATCCCACAGGGTGCAGAGGGCCCCAGCCTCAAGAACCAGCCACGCTGGTTCTTGACAAGAGGGGAGATTACTTACCGAGGGTTCCGCTTGGCTGGTGGGGTGTTTGGGGTCTGTAGCAGGTGGCTTGGCTGGTGGGGTGTTTGGGGTCTGTAGCAGGTGTGGCCTAAGCGTCTGTCGTCCTGCTGGAGAGTCTCGTGTGGGTTGGTTCTGTTCTGTGGCTTGGTCAGTTACCTTCTCACTGCCTGTCTCTGGGTCTCTGTTCTCTGCCAGCCCCAGCAGCTGCCTTTATTTTGCTGGTTAGGGGGTGGGCCGGAGAGGGGGCGGGGAGGGAGGCTATGTTCGGACTATTAAGTGGTGCCGCTATTTTTAGGGCTTGTGGAAGTCACTCTGCCATCCCGGGGAATCAGTTACATGTCTTTTGGGTTGGGGAGGGGCGACAGAGGGAAATGGGGAGAGCTCCATTCATCTAAAGTCCGCTCTGAGAATTGGGGACAGTGAGTGACTCAACTGTGGTGTGGGGTGGGGGTGTCCAGACTATTTTGAAGGAATGAATAAGGAGGAGCATTTGACACTGGGGTGGCCCTGCTCCTTCATCCTCTGAGCCTCCTGTCTCTGTGCTGGACTGGCCTCTGACTCTTGCTATATACCACCATGTCAGGAGACTGGAGGCTCCCCATGGGCAGGGCCGGGCTTCTCTGTCCCCAGCAGGAATACCTCTGAGAATAAGGCCCAGCTCTTTTTCTCCTGGGTTCCCCAAAGCTTTCCTCCCTTTTTCCATTCCTCCTCATGCCCCGCAGCTTTGACTGAAGCAGATTGGGGGAACCGTCTGAATGACCAGGCCTCAGCTCTTTGCTAGGCCTGATTTTTCAAAGAATCCTACGAAAGAGTTCTGTGGTCTCCATACCCCATCGTCCGGGTCCTTGTCTACTTCGGAACTCTTCCCTCTGACTCAGGGCCCAGACTTCCCGGGAATGGAGGGGAGGGGAGGGGAGGGGAGGAGAGGCATGTGGGAGCTGACCGTGGGGATATTTCTGACCCTGGAGTCATCAGCTTCCCAGTCTCAGACAGGATGGGGGTGGGGAGAATCACACCTGCCTCCTCTTGGCTGCCTGGAGCCCCAGGGACCTGGCAGCCTTCAGGATCCTGCACAGGAGCCAGTGTGGAGGGACATCAAGGTATTATCCACAGCACATAGGAAAGAGGATTTTATCTCAGGTGGGAGGCTCGGCTCCTTGTCTAAGGGTGTGCTGGTCTGGTGTGTTTTGTTACCTTGCAGACGTGGTCTTCCTTCTGATGACCCAAAATGCCCTCTAGGGCCAGTGGGGGATGCCAGATGTCGCTCACTTTTTCCATGAAGTCAACATTAGTCATGCACCGTCTCCTGGGGGGTGGTAGTGGGGGCATCTGGAACCCCTTCTCTCTTCCCTTGTTTTTTTCTATCCCTCCACCTGCCAGGCTCCTGTCTTTCCCAGGGCATAGGAGAATGCTATATGCCCTTCTTTCAGGCTAGGAAAGGAGGGGGGTCCTAGGAGGAGCCTTCTCCCTGCAGACAGTGAAAGTGCCTATCTTCTAGGGTAATTTTGAGTATTAAAGAGAATTAACTTATGAAAGTTTTTTTTTTTTTTTGGTCTGTTTGTTTTAGTATTGAGGATTGAACCCAGGGTTGCTTTGACACTGAGCTATACCCCCACAACTCTTTACATTTTTACTTTTGAGCTAGAGTCTCTCTAAGGTGCTAAGGGTCTCACTAAAGTCATTGAGGCTGCCCTCAAACTCACTGATCCTCCTGCCTCAGCCTCCCAAGTCACTGGGATTACAGATATGCACCATGGTGGTCTGCATGCAAAGGGTTTTGACAATGCTCAGCACACAGCTAAGTACACCCAAGTGCTGAGAAGTGCCTGCTTTTATATACATGAGGAGAGAAAAGCACCCAGGGCCTTCCCTTTTATAGTCTCTTCAAGGGTGATAAGTCATGGGAGAAATTCCTTAGGCTTCAATATTAAGAAAGAGGCTCTACCTGGACATCTAGTTTGTTTTTTTTTCGAATACAGCTGTGCTGTTCCATGCAGTCACCATTAGTCATGTGGAGCTATTAACATTTAAATATATTAAAATGAAATAAAATAAAATAGGGGCTGGGTTGTGGCTCAGTGGTAGAGTATTGCTGGCATATGACCCTGGTTTCGATCCCCAGAACCACACACACACCACACCATACCATACACACACAGAAAAAAAAAAAAAAAAAGAAAAGAAAAAAGAAAAGAAAAATTTGGTTCTTCTACAGTAGCCTTATTTTAGGTGTTCTGTTGAGACTTGTGACTAGAAAGTGCCATATTGGACAGTGTGGCACATTTCTATCATTGGGTAGTGCTGTTACACACACTAAACATTTTATAACATATGATATTTCCCTCTTTGGCTTGGCTGCTAGGAAGCTCCAAGCCAATTTTTTTAGGCTTCTCCAAGAAAGGACAATTTGTAGCTTACATCCTGGATAATGAGGGTGATCAGCTCTCCCAGTTGTCTTGTCTCTGAGGAGTTTCCCAAGGCAAGGGGATTTCACTTTTAAAACTGGGGAAAGAATCTGTTCATGCGGTGCACACCTTCATTCCCAGCTTCTTAACAGGCTGAGGCAGGAGAATTGGAAGTTTGAGGCCAGCCCAGAGACCTTAGCAAGACCTTGTCTAACGAAAAAGAAAAAAAAAAAAAAAAGAAAGAAAAGAAAAAAGAGCTCAAGTGAAGTAGTAAAGCCTCACTGAGTCTGTAAATCAGGCACAGGCCAGGTCACCCAGGAGCCCTGGCTGGCTGTGTTTGCTTGGGATTCCTCATGCCTGCTCTCCATCTGTCATCTTTAAGGCAGAGATACATTGCATCTGTCTTCTGGAGCCCTCTCAAATCATTCTGGGGATGAGGCTGGGAATACATACATACACGGAGGCTGAGTGACGAGGCGGATTACACCATCCTTGTCCAAAGGCAGAGAGGTGCAGGGAGGGGAGGTTGTTTTCAGGCTATTACAGTCTGTCTTCTGGAGCCTGCTGTTTCTCAGTCTCCAAGGTCCTTTTCCTGCCAGTCCTTCCCTCCAAGTGGGATCTGTGGAGGACTGGGCAGAAGTTCATGCCGGAGGCTCCCTCCAATCTAAGGAGGAGCCCAGAGTGAATAGCTGGCAGTTGATTCAGGAATGATCCGGAGCCAGACGGCTTGGGTTTGAATTATTACTTAGGAGCTGTGTGACTTTGGCAAGTTTCTTATTCCTAAATAAATAAATAAGTAAAGTGTGTGTGTGTGTGTATGTGTGTGTGTGTGTGTGTTGTAGATATAAATATAGATACACAATATGCATTTAGAACAGTGTTTGGCACACAGTGAACTCATTAAATGAATAAGGTAAGTTTTTCCCTGGACCTCAGCCACCTGTGGCCTCTCCAGGTCTCAGATGCTATGTCCTTTTGGTCCAAAGACGAGTGCCCTTCAAGGCACTGGCTGGCAGTCCTGGCTTCCCTCTGGCTGAGGGAACCGCTTGGGCAGGCCAGGTGGGTTCTGTTCCAGGCCTTTAGGGGATGGTTCCGCTCAGCCTCTTGGTATCAGAGAATCACCTGAATCTGTTAGACCAGGACGCAAGAAAAGACCACTGACTCCAATTAAAATCAAATTAAAGCAAGCTTATTATTTCGACCAGCCGGACTGCCTTTTCCTCCCAAAACGGTGGGAACAAGACAGCAGCCCCACCTCTCCTACAGCCCAACTTTATAGCCCAGAAAGTTACACAAAGGGGGGGGTTACAGATAACAGAACTCTGACAAGCATCACACTAATGGTAGTTTACATTTTTTGCTGGCCCCAACATCAGAATTTATGAAGACCATTAGAGCCTCAGAGAGGGTCGTTGTCTGGCCAAGGAAGGCCAATATTTATGAGGTGTCACTAAAGTTTCAGAGAGGGCTGCTATCTGGTCAGAGAGCCAGGCATGGGTGAGTTCAAGGCACGGGCAGGCATTCCAAGCAGGTTCAGAGTTTGCAGTAATTTATAGTAAAGCTGAAATTAGCTTTTCATGGCTTTGTGGCAAGATGGCTCCCAATTTAATAAAAGATCAGGTTGAGTCTATCATTCCCCCCTTTTCTTATGTGTCCCTTTCAAATCTTTGATAGGGTAGAGGAAGAGCACTGAGGGAATTTTAATCCCTCAGGTAACAGTCTCCAAATTTTTAGAACTCGCCCAAAACCGGTCTCCCTGATTTTACCTGACTTAATTAATTACTTATATTGATAATCTATTTATTTTTGGCTCCATTGTTGTAAGAAGACAGGCGTCACTCATTTTGGCTTCTTCTGAGCTGAGAGAGGGTGACGTGAGGGGGCACAGCGTGAGGGACATGAGTTGTCTTTTAGAAGTCAGTTCGGTTTGAAGTCTGATTGGGGAAGAACAGGTTGTAAAGTCATCTGGGGATGGGTGCTTCTATGAGAGAAACAAAAACCATGAGTACTGAGTAAATGTTGCAGCAGCTGGGACATGTCACTGTATAGAAGTTTCCTCACCAGGCTTTAACAGTTATCAGAACTGTAAGCATAACATTTAACTTTTAGTGTTACAGATGTCCTTCCCCATAAGATTCAGTTTAATAATTTAATGTCATCTGATCTTGCAAAATTCTTTTACTAGTATGAGCTCTGTGTCTAATAGAGAAAACTTTAATTCTGTTACTCAAGGCTGGATAATCATACTAGCAAACACGAAGCCTACCTGTGTAGGTTAGGAATAACTGTAGGCCTTAAACTAAAAACTTCTGTCTCTGGCAGCTCCTCTTGATAGTCTCTTTTTATAGTTATCAGGCATTTCTGTCTGAGAATCCTTCTTTGTAGCCTCTAGTCTTACTTATTTTGGGAGGCTAACATAAAGTATATACCTTAAATAATAATAATAATTATTATTATTATCATCATTATTATTTAAAATGCCCAGGAATGGCTGTATTTTGGTTTTAACTGTCTTTGCTAAGTGTTTAAGATGAAGCAGTCAAACTGACTTTTGTTTCTATCTATTGTTAACAGTCAGCTGAGCTTTTATGGGAGTCATTCCTGGGGAAACTTCTCAGTTCTGCTAGTGCCATTTGCGCTAGGATGGGTCTAGGTCTTGCTTGACCATGTGGCTTCCCTCGGAAGCATCAGGGATGTCTCCCTTCTCTGATGACC